GTTCATTTGGGTATTTTTTTCTTTTTTAAAGACAAAAGTTGCAGTATGTCCCATTGTCATGAATGCATAGATATGCAAAAACTTTCTTTACAGCAGGGCTTGCAAAATGTCACCAACTTAAGTGATTCAGACTATTAAGGGGGTTTACAAATATGTTACTGGAATTGAAACTTAGGTATTTTCAAAAGCCTTAAATACCCTCAAAGTGTTTTACATTTTTTTTTCCACTTGACAGTGTTTAAGATTAAGATCTCTGATATGAACAACAACTGTCTTGAGAATTAACTTCTCCAAGTAGTACTGTTTAGATCCTGGGTTTGATTCTCCCATTTTAGTATGTCCATTGCCTCTCATTCAGTACCAAAAGGGGTAAAACAGGCACTAATCACATAACTCCCTTTATGTGAACTGGTACCTGTTTTGAATAAATACAAAACTTTAAAAGTAAGCTGAGTCTGTGAGGTATGCTCATTACATATGCAATTTAAGGCTTTTCAAAGGTGAGGGAATAGGGGTAGAAGTGGAGTAGGGCAAGGAAGGAGAGAGGTGGTGGTAGGAAAGGACAGGGAGTTGTCTCTTCATATTTACTTTCCCATAGATTTTATGGGAAGTTGCAATTTATCATTGCTGCAGTAAAACTGCTGTTAGGTTTGGTTTTGTTCTCAATTTTGTTTTCTATTAAATTATTGGCAAAAGTTAGCTTTTATGTGAAGAGAAAGAAGCAGGAAATGGCAGTGAATGAGCTCAAGCTGTTTATAACAGTGTGTGCTTTATTTAGAGACTATGGTATATATAATGTGGGAGTTTGGAAACCTGTGTTCAAACTGTGATGCCAGCAGAGTGTTCTCATCTGGTGCTGTGGCCACCCTGACTTCTGCACTCTGATGTTTGTTTGCAGAATGCAGGGGGTAAAGTGTGGTTTTTGTTTGATTTTTTTTTTTCTTGGTTAACCATTCAGTGGAAGAACCTTTTAAGCATACAATCCCTTATGTCTATTCTTTTTCATTTATGTATAATGCTGGTAATTAAATAATCATTTGATGTGAGTATATTTTTTTCCAAATATTTTCAGGGTCCTTTTAGGCAGATTCATCAAGTAAAGGCAATTAAATGAAGCAATAGTTTTAAGAAAGGAGTATAGGCTTTCTGAAGTTAGTACACTGCAAGAGAGTCTTTACACAATATCTGGAATATCTTGTCTCCTCAAGCTTAGACAGTTCACTGAGTAAAGTATGCTGAGCACCATTCTGGCCTAACTTGAGTAACATCATCTATTACTGGTAGCCGTCCTGCACTTTTTTCAGTAGTTTTACTAGTGGGATATTACTGAATGTTCAGGAAGAAGTGCTCAGGGTAGTACCCCTTGGGCAGTAAAAGGACAGACTTTATTACAGTAAGGTAGTGCCTGACAATTCAGACATTCCAAAAGAGTATTGCTAGTTTTGATTATCAATAGAAATTGTTAGGAAAAAAAAAAAACCAAACAACTTTTGAAGAGCTCCGCTGTTGAGAGTGTTGATACAGCAAGTTGCAAGTTGATAGCACATACTGTTTTGTTTTCTCTGTCACGCTACCTTCTGCTGTTTCAAGACATAAGTCTGCATGAGCCCAAGCACTGGCAGGAAAATTATGGTTCTGCTATAAAGTAGGTGATAAAAACGCCTACAGTAATCCAGTTGTGAACGCTCCTTAGAAAAATATGGGAAGAACTAACTCCTGTTTGTTGTTTCACTCACTGGGCTGTTTCTGAAGGCTTGTAATTTTGGTCTGTAGTAATCTCACAGTATTTCAGGGGGTAGAACTGAATCACAGTGTTTACACACACAAACAGAACCGCACTCTAAAGTGTATACATGTGACACGCCTGTACTTTAAATATGTGTTTCCATTTAGCTCTTTAAAAGATGTATGCAAAATGTTGTCATGCAGTGGTCATGTAATTTTAGCAAAGACACAGACAAATGATGAAAATGCACAGGGTGTCTCTATAACAACTTGGTGAAAATAAGGATATGGTGGGGTTTTTCCCCTGAGGTTTGCTTTTGTCGCTTTCCTTATTAGAGATAGTAAATAGACAATGAAATATGTGTTTCAGTGAGCAGAAAACGGTATTACAATAAGTGAATGGAGCCTATGCTTCAGACTGACCACTGTTTTTATCTGTTGGTGCCTGCAGATGGGCTTGTGCTGTTTTCTCTCTTGTCATATCAGAACTGAATACAGTTGTGAAAGATAAGGGGTCTCTGCCAGTTTCCTGCTGTGCTAGTTTATTTATGAGTAGACATTTCTCCACTTTGTCTGTTTTCTCCATTTCTTAGGTTTGTTTGATTTTGCCCAGCCTTTGCTAAAGTTGAAAGCAGTTCATTGTCTGTACAAGTAAAGAATTCTAGTTGTCTTTTTCAGGCCTAATCTCTTTCCTTGATACAAAAATTCCTTTTCTTGGCATAGTTCACTAGCAAAAAGTTTTTTACTTCTGTATTGGGAAGAAGCCCAAGGAAGAACCTAGAAGACTCTTTTCATTTGTTGTCTCTGCTATTGTTGCTTGGTAATAATTGTGTGTAATAGAAATGTTATTTTCCCTAGTGAGAGAGCTTTCTCAGGGTTGATAACAGAAGTGGGAACAAGAACAAGGTAAATGCTGTTGGCACTCCACAAGTAGCAGTAATTGTAGTTGTTGTCAACATGTGTTGTCATGCAGTTTCTAGAGGTGTCCATAGTTTGTCACAGGCTTTCATGCTGTTTCTTGTGAACATTGCAATCAAGATGCTTAAGTTTAATATATGAATTCATTGTGCACAGTTCTCTTTTTCTTCTCCGGTGTGTATATGAGTTTATATAATGAATATGTAAGGACCCTGTATAATTAATCTAAATTCCACAGGTCACTCTTAAATCTAATCAATTTCTGTATAAACAAGTATTCAGCTTGTGTTTTCAAACTAACTTGCTGTATGTTTGCTGTTGGACAGGAGGCAGCCTGTGTTTCAGAATGTGTGGTATCATTGTTCATGATTATCTCCCCGCCTCCTTTGAAATTGCATTTGTATCTTCCTTTTTATACCAGGCTTGAAAAAGATTGGATTTTTGGATGGAGATGAGCTGGCTGTGAACTTACTGTGCTGAAGTGAAACTAATGCTTGCGAGGATGGGGAGAGCACTTAAAAGTGGCATGGTTAGGAATGTATTTACGTGTGCAAGTCAGCATATGAAAAACATTCTGTAAAGCTGCAAATAAACGTGACAAAGCATGCATGCATCTTTACATTTTGCAGTGTGTTGCAATCCTCTATTAGCTTTCCCGGCAGTGTTTCTGACGTGGCTTCTGTGACTTCAGGAGGCTGCAGCAGTTCCTGCTTCCTGTTCTACACGTAAATCTTGGGTGCAGTGACCATGGCCAATCCACAGTGTTAGGTTTAGTATTTGAGGAGTAAATCCATAGAGTTATATTTAGTACTTAACAAAATCAGTGCACAAGTTGGATGCAGTTACAGTTAGATAAAATTGTTGCTCAGATTCTTGAAAGAGATTTGACCCAAGGTTTTTCTTCTAGCTGTTGCAGAAACAGAGTGAAATTGATGGAACCTCTCTTAGGGGGAAAAAATGTATTTTAAATTGAACCCATTTTATTTGTCAATGTTTCTGTTCAGTGTCCAGCTTACTGAGGGTTAAGTTGCTCTAGAAGACTGAGGTGAGGTCTTCCAAATTTGGGCTAGGGATGGAGTGCTTTGCTGCTTTGTTTTGTTTTGTTTTGTTTGTTTGTGTCAGTGATTTAACTGTGTGGTGTCATTGATACTCAAAAACAGTTTTTACATTTGATGGCTGTTTGGTAGCCAAGCAAAAATTGCTGGAGGTTCTGGAGATGTGTCGTTTTGTTTAAAGCTGTTTAACAGGAAACTGAGCAGGAAAAAAAATGGAGTTCTGTAGCCAAAATCTCTACAAAGCAGCAAAAACAGGATGGATGTAAAACCAGCTCTCCGCTCGTTATTTTAGAGCTTGTTCATGAAAACTAACTTCCTGCAATTGTTCCCAAAACTGATGCATGGTGCATTTTTTTTTAAGAAATAATGGAGACTTTGGCTTCTATGGAAGAAGGGCTTTATTGATTACAGTAGACAGTAGGAAACAGATCAAGTGAGTTAACACTTAAAAGGGAACTGTCACTGGGCATTTAATGCTTTACAGTGTTACTTTTTCTTCCCTGTGTGGTAAACAGAACTTATAAACAGTCATCTCCGGAAGCTTTATGCCTGCTTCTGTCATTTGGTGCTCATCACAGAGGTTAAAGATGGTGTAATCTTTGGTCTTTCCACACTAGGTTTTGGTGGTTTAGGCAGTGTTTCTGCCTCCCATAATGTAGCATAACATACTTGCTGTTGCAGTTAAGGTGGCAGAATTTCTAATCTTCCAACCCATGTGAAATGTGGCTTCTAAAAGAACTATTTACAAATGCCAGGGAACCTGCCAAGAATCTGCAGCATGGAGGGGTCTGCTCAGTACCGAGATTGTCCTGACTGGGCCTGGGAGGTCTTGCAAGTGTACAAAGAACTCGCCATCACCCCGAAGTCTGGTGTGCTGCCTTTCAGGCATGCCTACCTGTGTGTTCAGAGCAGTCAGGTCATGTTTGGAAAATTAAATCACCAAACTAGTGATTTTGAAACCTTAGTGCTGTAACCTTTTGGAATACATAAAGGGACACATAGCTGCGCTAAAATAACAAGAATCGCAGTCACCCTGAAACGGTAGGGACCAAAGACTCATGTTGGGCCCTTTCCACGTACAGGGGACCGCGCTCCCTGATAGCAGTTGGTCACCCTCCACTGATTTAGCAGCCACCTTCTCATGTCGCGCTGCATTTGGCAGTTGTTTGTTATTCAAATGCATGAAGTAGTAAGAGTAACAAATTGGAGGAAGAGCAATGTGTTGGCTGCAGAAGGTTAGGTTAAAATATAACAAGTTTGTGTGAAAGACACTTACCGCTTCTGGCCCTACCTTTTTTGCAGTTTTGGAACCCTTATTGCCATTGGAGTTACTGTTTGTGCGGTGATTATAGTTACTATTATTCTGTGCCTCACCTGTTCATGTTGCTGTTTGTATAAAGCATGTCGAAGACCACAACGTAAGTACCTGTATATTTATTTTCTTTTTCATGTCTTTGAACAAGACCCTCCCCCCCCCGGAAAATTATGTTCTTATAAAAGGTGAAAATAATCTTGCCTTACCTTTCTGCTACAGAAGTTGCAATACCTAAACATTAAAAATAACATTTCAGCTGCTTCACAATGTGAAGTTGCAGAGATATTTTGGAATATTTTCTAAGCATGTAGAAGTTCTCTCTCCCCCCCTCCATCCCCCGCCCCACTGTGTGGATTTTGGCGGGGGGGTGGTGGTGGTGTTTTGTTGTGGGTTTTTTTGTTGTTTAGGTAAGCAGGGGATAGGATGAAATTTAATAATTTTCCCAGTCTCTTAAAAATGTACCTGAAAAATACACAAAGGCCCAGGACTGCAACAGTACAATCTTGAGCAAAGTCTACAATTGTACCATAAAGAGGAAGGAGATCTCAAAAAACAAATTATTGCAATTTATTAGAAAGAGTTAATACTCCCTTATTCCAGTAAGAGATATAAACCAATGATCCAACATCAGCTCCTACAAAAATCGATGACTTAATGTGTCTTTCTGACTGTTACTTAGAGAAAGACGTACTAACACATGGATGTATTAGTGTGTAGGTGACATACAAAAGGAAACTCATTTGGGCAATCATGGTAGGGAAGCTCCTTACCTAATAAAGGAGCTCTTTATCACCTTAATCCTTAAAAGCAGATAACATTTAAAAATGAGCAGTTTTTCCAGTCTCATACCAAATGATAAATAACTTGGCTGCAGGGTTGAGTTCCTGGTTTTTGAAGAGTCCAGGAGAAAATTCTTTGTTCTTTGTGGTTGAGAAACAAGGAGATAAGTTGGCTGCTATCCCAGTATGTGAAGGCTCTCATTACCACGAGGATCAATGGAAGGATATTTAGAGGCATACATTTCTAAATCTTTCATGGAACTTTGAAAATGAAATTACCCAGATTTTGAAGTGAGAAATTAATTGATCTTGAAGAATGTTTTTTTTTTTTTTACATTACTGTTGTTGGTTGTCCCAGGTGATCTTTTAGAGCCCCCAGCACTAACCATGTTCCTTTTGCTTGCTTGTAGCTGTTGTGGCCACCACTACTTCCACTACAGTGGTTCACGCTCCCTATCCCCAACAACAGGGAGTGCCACCCAACTACCCAGTAGCCCCATATCAAGGATATCAGCCTGTGGCTATCCAGCCACAACCAGGAATGCCAGTAGCACCATACCCTGCACAGTATCCTCCCCCTTACCCCATGCAGCCATCAGGACCCCCAGCTTATCATGAAACGGTGGCAGGTAAGGCAGCGCTGAGTGTTTTTTCATCTCTTAAATAGCTAAAGAGACAGTTGCTTTGGAGCTGATCTTGTATTATTTACATTTATTATTTTCTATGACTATATAAATGTAAATGTAAACAAATTATGTAAAAGTCAAGTTATGGTGGATGCTGTAATTCACCCTTGCTGAAATTTCCCTATCACCATTTCTATTGCATTGCAAGAGGAGATGTGGCTGGAGCTCAATTGGCAAAGTTTGATGATATGTGGGACTGTCAGTGGATCCAGTAGAATGTTTTACTAATTCAGTTGAAATTTTGTATTAAAATCAAAGTCCAATTAACATATGTGTAGTAGTTGGGTGTTTCCACATACCCTTTCTAATCTAATATTTGCTAGATGTTTCAATGTATACACAGATGGCATTTTCATAGTTCATCGCTATGTTTATAGAATACCGAGTCTCTGATAGATTTCAGACAAGTTTGCTGATGACTAGCAGTTAGAAATACCAGAATCTTTTTTCTTCTGCTTTCCTTCTCTCACAGCATTGTTTTCATGCAGCTTTGTTGTTGCTATTACTAATTCTCACTTCTGCTGGTAATAGCTGTTCTCTGACCAATTGGCTCCTGGCTGTTCAGAGAGGCCAAAACTAGGCTGTTACCTGTCCAAGGATTTTCAAGCCCTCTTAGAAACCACACTGTTCATACTTCTAAATAACAAGCAAAGTATAGTCCTGAATAGTAGATAATGCCCACAGAAAGTAACTTTTTCATGACAACTCAAATACAAAATGTCTGTTCATGGTCAGAAGCATTTGTAAACCAGTTAGAAGTTGCACATTACATGCAGGGCTGGTTTGCATATTGTTGAAAACACTGACTTGGCAGGCCTGTTGACTTTATTTTTCTGTGGTAAACTCTGAAGAAGCTGTGGGGTTTATGGGATTACCCCAAAGTGCTTTGGCTTCATCTTTATCATGTGAGGGAGCCAATAAAGTAGTCATTTTGCTTCTCCTACTCTCTTGTTTCTCAAACTGCTGCTGGTTTGTTAGTTCTTAAAATATTTTTTTTTTCTGGAAAAATCTCAAGGCACTTTCCATGTTGCCAGCTGAGAATGCCTCAAAATGAGAGCTCTTTTCTTTATTTCTCTTGTCTATTAACCAAGGGGCAGTGTCTTAATTAGGTCACATGCAAGGGAGAGAATACCTGCTCTGTCATACAGGAGCCAAACCCACTCACTTTACAAGATCAGCAAAAGATAACCACACTTATATGTTCCAGGGATCTAATCAGGTGTTGTGTTATTTGAACTAACTTGTGCTATTTGACAGACATGAAAATGAAGATGCCACTTGAGAGCAGCTTGTCTCAGAATACTAGAAAATAAGGATACCTTCCAAATGATATACATCTAGTATATAAGTCAAAATCTTTAGTGTGCTTGGTAGCGTTGGGATACTTTTTTCCCTTTTATTTTAATTTTAATTAATTCTGTGACACTTACCAGGAAAGCATTTTCCCTGAAGGAATCCTAAGATGCTTTCTCTAGTCCTTTTTCTTTTGCCCAGTAGTTTATTTTCACTTCTCGGTGTGCTATCAGGTATATCCTGTTGTTTGTGCATCTCTGACTTCCACTGGCTGTTTTTTTAGACCTGATCTGTTCCTTTTCTTTAGACTATGTTCTCCCCTGAAGGATAACCATGTGCTTGTGGCTGCCATAATACACATGTGGGTTTGGTTTTTTTGATGCTTAAGTGTACAAGAACAAAGGTTTTTGTGATGTTATTTTGAAATGCGGATGCTTTATGACTTAGCACAAACTGTTCTCAAGTCCAGTTAAGATACTACATAAGTTGAACCTCTAACTGTGTGCTCAAAACAGAAGTTGCCATTATAGATGCAGAATTCAGAATGTAAATTTTACAAATCTGTCTTTTCTTGTGTTTTGCTTTTGCAGCTGGTGCTGGAGCACCTTACCCAATCAGCCAGCCCCCTTACAACCCTGCTTATGTGGATCCTCAGAAGCCCACCTATTGAAAAGATCTTCTGCTATGCTTCTGCATACAAAACTTTTTAAAGTATAATTTGTGCCGTTTACACCGTATAACTGTAGTATATTTTTTCTGGAAGACAGCAATCTTTTGTCTAAGTAAAGTGAAAGTTAATTCACTATCTTTTTTTTAAATGCTTAGAGTATGAGGAAGGAGTATTTTTCTTGCAGAAGTTGTTAATTTATACCTCAAGCAACTACAAACTGAGATTTTGTTCTATGTACAATGAGAAAAGCATGAAGGAGTACTTCAGAAATAAGAACCACAATAACGTTTGCTGTGCAATAATTTTGAAAGGAATGGCCTAATATGAGCATTATCAAACACCCAAAGCTGTAGCAATCTTTTGCACAGTGAAAACGTAAAAACTTAATCTCTGAGAAACTACCTGATATATGTTATGTATGTTCTGCCTGTTTTGAAGCTACTATTGTTAGGTAAGCTACAATGTGATACATTTCATTTACCATTCAAAAGGGAATTTTCCTTTTCTGAAACACATTTGCCTTCAGTAAGGGTAGCAAACCACATTTAATTGTCTTTGGACTAGTTGCATTTTTCTGTGCTAAATAGCATGAGTTGATAATTTCCTTGTTTTCTTTCCCAATTTTAAGGCTTAAAAACTGTGCCTTCACTGGGTGTTTTCTCAGGCCATTTTAATTTATAGCTAGAAATTAACAACAAAACCAAATTCTCTGCCACTTAGTAGAACAAATAGATCAAAAGCTGAAAACCTGAGAATTCTTCATAAAAATTATTGGACAAATATTTGTTGTCCACGTATTATTGGACAAGCTTACTTAAGTCATATGTTGCTGATGAGTTTGGAAGAAAAATTACCACCTTAATTATATGTTAAGCAGAAGTACCTGCCAGTGTTCAGTCCTGCCTCATTGTAGGGAAGGGATTTATTTTACAGGAGAGATGGGATGTCAGAAATAGATCGGGGTTTTTAAATGCTTAGGGTTTGTTGCTGTCTTGTCTCTGGTGGAAACTGTAGATGGCAGGAACCTAGAAATAATAGATCTTTATAAACTCAGTCTACACTTGACAGTAATATGCAGGGGGGGTTAAGAAATCCCAGCCCAACACACAGTAGAGATTCAGCCTCCCTTTTGTCTTCAGCATTCCCATAAAGCTGAGCCAAGAACGAGAGTCAGGGAAAGTAAGAGTGGTAGGATTTGGTCACAGCGAGGTAATGTATTTTTAAGATGGTAGTGCTTGCAGTCATGAAATGTCTTGAGACATCCTTGTGACTGTTACTGGTGTTTGCAAGGCTTTTCACTCTATACACCTTGTATTGATCAAAGGAATCATGATTTTTTTTTTTTAGTGTCCTCTACAATTCTCTTTTCTAACATTGAAATACAATTTGTTATTCCTGAGTAGAGCTATCTAGTCTGTTGTATGTATCACTGTGACATAATTAGTGAAATAATTTTGACATATCTCATACACTGATAGTACTTTTTTAGAGAGGCCATTAAGCCATTTGTCCTGTGTTTCTACATTTGGGGTATATTACTGTTCGAAAAAACATTGATGGTGGCATTGGTTTACCTCATATGATGGATGGAAACTGCTGCTGTCAAAGACAGCCTTATTTCTCTTCCTGATTTTTTAGTCTATTTCTGGGTTATTCCTATTCTTTTTTTCAAGAAAGTCTTCAGGGCATTTCAGAAGAAACTTGTAGAAAGTTTTTAGCACTGGGATTCATGACAACTTAGGCCCCTCTGTTACACCTCTCTAAGTGTTGAAGTTAATGGCATGAAATGGTGCCATGAGGCACTCGCAGAGCATGCATGCCCTGTATCTGTGTGTTCCTCCTCTTTCCTGCCTTGTAAGCTGAGAAATTGGGCAGTGCTTCATCACACTCTTAGGAGTTATGTGAGAACAACCAAAAATGGACAGTGTCTCCTGCATGGAGGATTAAATGTTTCACTAGAAATCTGGAATTTTTACATGTGGGAGGGCACAGAGTAACTGCAGAAATAATTCTCTTGCTCTAGATCCTACTCCTGTGTGTTTGTTCTTATAGAAGGAGGGCAGACGCTATTCCAGCACCTTTGTTAGCCAGCTGCCTGGATGGAGTCTGGCCAGGGAGATGCAGTCAGCGAGCACGGCTCTCAGAGCACAGGTACAGTGTTCTAGGGTTGGGCTTCACGAGGTTGTTACTCTGTACCGCTTTTCCTTTCCTCCATCTGGTGTGACAAAGTGTACAGTTTGTGGCAGTGTTAGTAGGGTTATGTTTTGGTTATGGAAGGAAAATCTGCAATTTCATGAGAAGTTGGCTCAGTTATCTGAGCATCATCCCTAAGGAAAAGATGGGAAAGTAAAATGGCAACAATAACAGAGGTCCCCAAATCTGAAGTTTTGGTGTAAATGTTGTACAGACCAAATAAATTGCCCTGAACACCACTGTATGTGGAGCAGTGGAAGGAGATGAGGGATAGGGTTAAGGACCTTGAAAATTTACACCCTTCCTTCAGTGAATGTATGCTCATGATAACTATATACAAGTGAAGAGATGAATCATTAGTCTACAAGGAACTACTTCAGTAGTAGTATTACTGCTTCAGTTACAAAACTCATTGAAAGAAGAGAAAATGGTCCACTTCATAATCGGAGCACTGAATCAGATCTTTTCTTATTGTTAGTGTATTAATCATCATTAACAATAAGGTGTAGGACCAAATTTTATTTACTTGTTGCCATGCAACCCATTGAAACTTGGTTTTGTATAGTTAAAGAGAATGGGATAGTTATAGAAAAGATGGAGAAGTTGGTCCATGAACTTTTAGTTTAAGCACTGCTGATGTGTCAGTCCAAGTAGCTGTTGCCTTCATGTCAAACCAGTTATCCACAGTGCTGTAGGGGAGGGGGAATGGAATTAAAATTTTAAATGTTGAAAGAGTATATGTTAATTTTTTTTTAATTCTGTAAGTGCCTTTGTTTCAGAAGTGTTTTGTGAAATTAAATACAGTAGAATATTCTGTTGTACTGAATTTACTAGATAATCGGTGATTTTACTACATACTGTAACCTAGCTTTGTATGTTGGTTGTTAAGTTAGTTTAAATGTAAGTATTCAAAAGAAATAGCATAAACTCTATGCACCTTTGTAATAAATGCAGTGTTTGAAGTATATTCTATCAATTTTGTTTTCTTAGCCTCAATTTGAGTATTATTTAGGAGTGTATCTGCAAAGCTACATTTTACTTCATTGTGTTTGACAGCTAGTGTTACCAAGTGTACTTTAAGTCACCTCGTATCATGAATATCCCTTTTGGCAGTGGAGACTGAAGTCTAATTAAAATTACAGGTCACAACATAAAGCAAGGACAACATAAGCTCCTGAATGATACTCTGACAGTATGCTTCAAAGCTAATCTAAAAGGATTGCTTCTAAGGCCTTGTCTAGCCTAAGGAGTAAATTAAATGCATGAAGTTTGAATGCATTAGCTAACAAATCCCAAGACATTTGAAAAGTCTAGTGTAGACAAGATGGTAGACTTCTTTGAAGTCTATAATTTGATTAAAGTTTAATATCTTCTTAACATGTATTTTGACTTGTGTGTTAAATATCATGCCTCATTTATCAGCTTGACCAATTCAATGTGTGGTAAGGGATGTTTTCTACTCTGTGCGAAAACATTTTTGCTGATTTTTTTATATTTTCAATAGTTGTGGAAAAAAATGCTTTTGAAAGGTTGTATACATGCCCCTGACTCATTAGTCTTTCACTTGAAAATATTTTCTTTGAACAGGTCAATGTTTTTCATCAGACACAAGTAGTACTGAATTGTTTGAGGGTGTTCAGTATATAATCATTATTACCTTGAATTGCCAGCTAAGTTTCCAATGTAGGATTTAAAAGTAAAGGGGGGTACAACACACCACAAACAATCTGCTGCCCGCCCCAACTTGTCCTGAAAGAGTTGTTTATCATGGAATAATCGGGTAGTTTTGTAATGTTACTTCTTGAATTTGTTGGAGTTTCAGCTGCAGGCTGATAATGTGTTGCAGGTGAAACGTAGATCATTTCGCTTCCAATTTTATTTCACATTTTCTCAACAGAATTTCTGTTAGTTTAACTGGGGACAGCAGACAAAATGTATGCTCCTAAAAATGTAAATCTAGTAAACAAATATAATTAATGTTTGGGCTAGAAATTACACCAGGAAATTGCAGAGTTATTTCTGATGGTTTTGTTGCCACTACTTTTTAGTTCATCTGTTTTTCTTTTCCCATGACTCTTTAGCAGGTGCATCTGTGCAATATGGCTGAATTTGAGAAGTGACATGCAGAGAAGCCTCCTTCTGTTCAGAGAAAAGCTGTGTGCCTTTCATTGTCTCTGTGCACAGGTCTGAGGAACACAAGCTAGTGTTTTGTTTAAAACCTTCAGATTTCCTTTAATGAACACATAGGGTTTCAAAGGTACCTTCACCCTCTAAAATTGCAGCAAAGTGTCGTATATGAGAGCAAACCACTGAACTAAAAAATTGAGAGCCTGGGGGGTAGGTGAGGAATACTGCTGGTTATGTTTTCGTAATGTTTAATCAGCAGTTGTTTATGGTAGTGTGAATTTTTCCAAAACTTGGAACAAAACTTCCAGAACAAAACTTGGCATGCATCTTAAAACCCATGGCAGGGTTGCATGGAGGAGCTGGACACAAAGCAGGGAAAAAATTTAGCAATTATTGCCAAACAAGCAATTCTCTCCTAATGTTTTTTTTTCCCCAAGTATGGAAACTTAGTATCATATCTAGGCATGTACAATAACTTGCCAGGTTTGCTTTAGCCAGTGGTTTGGGGCCTATTTTTTTTCCTGCTGGTTACTATTTGACCTCATCTACTTCTTAGTATAGCCTGTGTCACAGGAACCTGGTCAGATTTACAGCTTTTAAGCCATATAGGAAGGAAAAAATGTACCCGAGTTAGACCTGTTAGAGGTGAGAGAAAGCTGAAGAAGAGTTATTTTATCCTTTCAAGAGCTCAGGCATCTGTATTGATGGAGTAGTCTCCTCTGCTTCACCTTTTTATGGCAGTCTCCACTAAGGGCGAGTTAGCCATGTTATAAAGGATGTCCTTCTGTTGTAAAGTGATTTCTTTAGGTTTGAGACACAACTAACTACTTTTGTCCATACTGGATAGCGAGGAGGCTCTGCCTGGCGCTGTGAGACATGGGGCCTCTCTGGCTCCCCTGGGGCTGCAGCATGCTGTGCGGGTTTGGAAGTGATGCCATTTCCATCTCAGTGCTGTCCCTCCTCTCCTGCAAACTGACAAGTTGGGTGGCTGTTTTGCTTTTTGTTTCACTAGAGTGAAGAACAGTTCAAGATATGTACAAATTAACCTCTGATATCCCATTTCCCTTACTGCAGCCAAAATAACTTTTAAATCAGTTACCTGGAGACTTTTCATTCTAACATTTCTTGCTCCTGCAGTTGGTTTTTGTGGTTCACTCTCCGATGTTACTTTGGCCCTGGAATAAGGTAGGATCTGCCTTACAGACTGTTGGACAGGTGTCACAGCAGAGCTGTGCTGTAAAGGAGGCCTTTAGCAAAACAAATTGTACAGCTACATTCTCAAAATACCAACCTACAATATGACTAATGCATAGACAAAAAAATTACTGTTCTGTGTCATCTGTTAGGAGACTCTGCAGTTATGTGGTTGGAGTAGAATAACCAATACGAAAATACACTAGCTGTTTCCTCTAGATATTTTCAAAAGCAGGTCACCACTTGAGCAGCTATTCAGAGCACTATTTCACTTACAAGCTGTAGGACTAAAACTTTTAAGATTAGTCCAAAGTGAACTATATGTACCTGCTGCAGGGACAGGGTGCTCAGCACATTGCTAGCTGTTTGCAGTTAAACTTTGTACTGAACGTGTTGGCCCTCACTCTTGGAAGCATTTTGACAAACTTCAGCCACAGTGGCTTTGTAGCTCTTTAAAAAGCTCACAGACCACCTTTTCTTAGCAGTCTGCTAAATTATAAACAATGATGTATAGGTTTTATTTTTAACAATTTACACTGTAAATGTAAGTTTGCATTTGCTATTACATTCACAGCAGATAATACACAGTCTTTACACAGGCAGATCAGAACTGCATTTGACCTTAATATAACCATAAATAATTAATATTACTGACTGTAGCATAAAAATATTATTCAATGGTTAAAATAAATTACTGTTCTAATAGTCTAGGACAGGCTAACCTTTCTTAAGCAGTAGTTCACACTAGTGGGATTAATATGAATAAAAACAACTCAGGTCAGATGTTGCATGTTATATGATGAGGTACTTTTGTATTTGCCATCTTCACCTCTTACAGCTTGGTTTATAAAAATGAGTTTTGAGGCCTGACATGACACAAAACAGTGGTTTGTCTTGTCTGTGGAAGTTTGCTTTGATCGGAGGCAGGACTAGAGCTACAGAGGCCCCTTCCAACCTCAACTAGCCAATGATTCTACAAGTTGTAGAAAATAAGGTATTACCTGTGCAAATTCCCTAAATATTTTAGTAAATGAAGCATCATTTATCTCTGTACATAGCTTTAGCAGAAATAAACTGCTGTGTGTTTGAATCCATGCAGTACCTCAGGTCCTTGAATCACCACAGGAAGATGTTTAGCAATGCGATGATGCCACCTCCTATGCTGTGACTGTTCAAGGGGTAGCGTCAGTAGATCTTAAAATACAAGTCAGCAAGGCTACAATCCTCCTCTTTGCATCAGGTTACCTGAGTAATGGCTAAGCTAGTAGAGGCGATTGCTTTCTTCATCCAGCTCCTGCCTCGCTTTAGTCCTGTCTGCTCAATACAGTTCATTGAGGAGGAAAAAGCCAGCTATACTTAGCTCAGCTTTCAGCAAAGGGAAAACTAGCTGCCATCCCCATGGGCAAGAAAACAGATGGGTGGCTGCTGCTGACTGAGAAATGTGGTAATCATGTATAGAACATGACCAGTGGTTTTTGTTGTTGCTCAATACATCCATTATTCAGTCCTGTGACTGTGCTCGATGCCAGAGTAAATTCCTTTTCTCAGTTAATATGGAGGCACAGCTTATCTGTAACATGTTGGGAAAATGCAAACTGGCCTTGAAAAAAAGAGCTGCTATGCTATGAATTCTTCAGGGAGTGTCTGATGAGAACAGTCTGAGTTCTGTTATTTTTAGGTCATGAAGATAGTAACTAGCCCCATAATCTGTAAAAATGCTTCAGGTTTTTTCAGGGGATGATCAGCTGTTGCATACATGATTGGATCTCTTTAATCCCAAGAGAATGTATGAAGGGAAGAATTACTGAAGGTCAGTACAATCTGCAAAAACCCTGAAAAAAGATTGGTCGCTGTAAATTACTTACAATTATGGCAGTTCTGCAAGTATACCTATGTCTGCCTTTTCTCTTTAGGAATGCAGCCTCATTTTTCCTTAGGAGTGTGAACTTTTAACTTACAGAAAATGCCTTTATTTTCAAAAGCTGCAGTTTAATTTCATAATACCATGATGTTACTGTAATTTCTGCCAGTGAAGGTGTAGGGTTTTGGGTTGGTTTGTTTGTATATAGCCCGGGCTATGCCACTTCAAAGTCAAAAGTGGGAAGAAAACAATCAGAGTGTAGATGTACACATTAGGGTGTTGTCTGTTAGAGTGGGTGGATGGGAGGGGATGCAGTGCCAGAAGGGAACAGTTAGGGGTATTTTCCTAGCATTTTTTTCCACAGATAACACTTCTGTTTATATAAAGTTTAGCAGTAATACACTTCTCCCTTTCACCAAGCTGCCATACACACATCCTTTAGATGAGGCCAGGAATTTTATAAAAATTTTTTTAAACTGGATTGCTTCAACAATTTGGGATTCCTTAACTGGTTTTCATCCAGACTCCTCTTAACAATTTATTTGGTCTGTTCACCCAAAGAAGGGGTTTAAATGCATCTTATTGCTATAAACTCAAATTATGTTTAGAGAAATTTAGACCAGTTGAAAAGTGATGGCAGGTCATTGCATTTTGGGATACTGACTATTGTATCTTTGTTAGGACAGCTCTAAGTTTGCCACTCACAGCAGGCTAACTGCCAGATACTGCTTTACTACTGCTTATGCTCATAGGGCTATTTTTAAAGAATTACCTTAATGATTATTTTGGTTTTGAGTAAGGAAGGGGCTTTTACCTGACACTCTCAAGCCCTTCTCTCTAATCCTAAAGGCCAGGAAGCGCTGTGTTTTGGGTTTGGTTGTTTTTTTTTTTCTAAAGCAGACAAGTCAAATGGTTTTATGTCATGCTGAAACTTCTGTAGCATGTCTTGCCCAGTGCTCTGGTGGCAGTTCTTGGGTAGTTACCATGCAAGCATACATGGACTCAGAAGGCTTTGGTGTTATGTGCCTGTGCATCCTTTGTTGCTGCATTTAAGCAGGAAAATGGCAGTTCTCCAGATGCTACAAGGGACTTGAAACCTGTTACTGAGAGGAGCAGTTGGCAACTTGTGTTTTATAGAAATGAACAGGCCATGCCTGGTGGAGCTCTGCTAGCTGTTGCTCAATGAGGAGGGGGCTTAGCCCTAGGCTGTGTTGTAGGAGGAAGGAGTGAAGCTTTGTACCCAAGAGCTTTGGCCCTAGGGAGATGCTGGATTATTACACTGGTTATTCCTGTATAGCAGTTTCTGGGAAAGTTCAAAAGTGAAAGCCAAGTCAAGAGCTTGTTCAGCACAATGGAGTGTGGCTCTTTGCCCAGGCACACCAAGGCAGGACAGAGCCCCTGGGTTATGACCAGAGAAGCGGATGTTTCCCAATTTTCCAAGGGCGTCTTTCCCACTGTAGTACTGTCTCTCCTCCTCCTCCTGGTCCCCGGAGCCAGGCTCATTCTGAATTGAGTATCTGTCAAAAAATGAAAAAAGCTTTCCAAATTATTTAAAACTACAACCCTGTAGGCTCATTTTAGTAGCACTCACACTTCCCTTTTTAGGGTCTAAGATTCAGCTGATACCTGCAGCTGAGTATGGCAGCTGATAATCATACACACTTGAAAGGGTATAGCAACAGTTCTTCCTCCAATCTTCAGTACTGTATCCTAGGAATGAGATGCTCATTCAACTTTACTGCAGTGTCTATCCAGATACTACAGCCAAAAAGACCCAGTCATTCTCCACACATTTAAATATCCTTCTCTCACCTAGTGAGACAGAATCCTCTCCTCAACATTACCATCTTACTCTTCTAAGGTAACTTTTTTAAAAAGTAAGTTCTAGTATTTTTTGTTTTGGCATCTCAATAGTTAACTTTCAGCAGATTCACAAAATTGAGAAAAATGAGTGAACTCAGGTGATCATTACAGAGCTTTGAATTTCTTGCTCAGAACTGAACTGCCAACTATAAATTATTTGTAGAAAGGTTTTTAAATCACAGTAAACTGTTTACTAATATCAACATGAAAATTTTGGAAGTCAAGCAAGAAAGTGTTACAGCTGCAAAAGAAACAAATGTGTTCAAAACACTTCCATATGAACACAGTGATCCCAAACATCTAAGCACATTCAGCATCATAAATTCAGCTGCAGTCACAGTAAAATGGAGAACACAGTGAACTTTCCATTCCATTCACAGCAATTTCATAAAGGATGAAATTCATAAACAGAACCAGTCATAAGTCATTGAATGGTTTTGCACAGCAAAACAGTACATGCAGTAAAATTCCTAGATCAAAACTGGTTTTCAGCTACGTTTAGGTGGCACTTAAATAAAATCACAACAAAGAAATGTGTCTTAGTTGTGCTGCATTTGAGTGCAATCTTTATATAATCACTTAAAATAAACAATTTAAATTTCAGATTTACACTGGCAATGATTACTATGATTTAGATGAGGAAGGACAGAGATGTCTTCTAGATGTTAGCTAGCTGGAATCCATTCCTTGGTCTTCTGCTTCTGGCTCAGGAGGATACAATTCATCCAAAATCAGCTCTGCAACAACAAAAAATTATGTTTCAGAAAATTATTTTTCTATTTGATACAGAGTACAATTATAGCTGGTATCCATTTGCATTTTAAAACATACTGACTGTAGAAGGCTACAGCAAATATCCTTTTTCAAGGTTCCATGGAAACAGGTCTTTAGATACGTGTTTTGTCATACAAACTTCTCCCCATCTTTTTTTTAATGCCTAAAAAGGCATTAAAGGATAGAACTATCTTGAGCAGTCAATTAAATTTATGTATTAGTGGAAAAACAGTAAACGGCACTTTGTTATTTTGCAGATAGTTCTGACTACTTACTAAATTTAAAACCTCATTTTTGTTAACTAATTTTAAAAAGTCACTAAGACAAAAGCATAGTATTTTGTATTTTAAAGGAAGAACCTGAAAGCTAACTATAGGTTTGCAAGGACATTTGTGCACCACCATCCCCGCCATCACAAGCTGTTACACTGTTTTGGTCCATTCCCAAGCATAACTAGGCAAGGTGTTGGCAAAGTTCTAGAAAACCTTGGGACACTCTAAGCAATCAGAGTAGAACAAATACATGGCATGCTGTTTAGCATTTCCAGAAAACTCACTGTAACTAATAGTGCCATGCTTGCATGACCTGCCTTACTGATGCAATATGTACACCAACAATGAAGGATTTATCAGCTCTACAACATGCATGTAAATAATGCCATGAACAAATGAAGAAGTGGCATCAAAGTATGAGGAGGAGAGGCAATTTCATGAGATTAGCGGTCTCCAGGAAAGGGACACCAGAAGTGTGCAAAGCAAGGGGCAAGTCCTGATGGACATGGGCTAGAGGAGCTTTTGGGCTAATGGAGGAAGGTTGGGGGTAGAAGAGGGAAAAGGAAGAGAGATGTTAAGGATGTGGGGGGTGGGGGGATGGTGGTCGGTGTGTAACAATTGCAGAGCGAAGGTGTAATGCTAGTTGGAGACTTGGAATAATGGATATTTTTTTTTAAATAAGGTAATGTAGTGCAGATTGTTCTACTAAAGAAAGCTGGAATATAGGATTTTGTTTCACCAGATAGTAGGGGCATATTTCTATGGAGAGAAGAAAAAGATACAACTATTGAAGAAGAATAGTAGAGTAGTGATTCAGTACAAGGAAGATTGAGAAGCACTAGACTATGGACTGCCTTCAGAGGTCTGAGCAACAAACATCCATGGTATTTGGTACATGGTACTTGTTAAATGAGGAAAGGGACAGAAGTGGAATTTCTATTTCTACAGCATGGAAAAAAGCCAACATTATCATTTGACTCGTTTTACCTTCACAGGCACTCAGTTTTTGAGTCTTTTTGAGAATGGCTCTTACACCCGGCATGACTTGGTCATATTGATGGAGAACTTCCAAACAGTGTTCATGAAACAGTTTATCTTTCTGAGAGAGGCTGTATAAGAGTAAAACAGCATCCCGTAAAAACTGAATAATTTGTTCCTTATATGCAGACAAACTGTTCTCAGATCTTCTAATCTTCATCCACTGTCTATGTAACATTATGATTAGTGCCTTAACCACCTGCAAGAGGAAAAAAAGTGCCTCAATAAACAAAATAAAGTTATAGTAGTAGAAAACTTATTTCATTATGAACTTTACTGATTAATCTCTTCAAACTTCCAAATTTCAGAATATTTTCTAGCAAGCAAAAGCAACCTTCCTAGAAGGTGGCATCCCTTAAAGTACAGTATACTTCTGTTTCATTGTAGCTAAAAAAAGGGGCAAAAAGCTATTTCAGCATTGAATACCTTTAAATTCTCAGTAGATTAAACTCAGCTATTGTAGTGACATACCTCAAGATTACATTGGCAGTCTGTACCAGGTAATAAAACCGCTGGACTGGAACACCGCATACACCTTGTCAGGAGTCTAACTGTCTATTACAAAACCACACAGATTGCATCATGAGTACTAGGGTTCTGCAGAATTATCAAACAAGCTCCAAATAAAGGGAGGCAGAAATGATATTTCATTACTAGTTTCAAACACTGGGTTTTTTTAACAGTTGATGTTTTTGACCCCCAAAAATTGTTAAAAGTTTTTTCCCTGTAAAACTTTGCAGACCTAGAATTTGCCTCGCACAGAAACCTTTTCAAACTTTCTGATAAGAAAGGCTAACAAGATGCAGTGGGCCTTAATTTTTTGCATACAAATATGTTTACACTTAATATAACAATGTAGATGGGGGATAATGAAAATGGTTCAGAATTCTTTCAAATGAGAGCAGAGGTGGAGCAAATAATAGAACCTCAAACAAGTTACCACTGTCAGTACAAACAATACAAATTAAGTTAAAAAGCTGTTCTTCCTATATATAATCATGACTATTATACAGCAAGCTAGCATTTCCACTGAATACAATGAATATAATTCTAAGTCACTACAGACTGACTTTTATATGTAATAACTCATATGATACAGTTTAGAAGTAATTAATATGATCAAAATGAATCATAGATCTTGCTTCCTTTTACTCCTCTATCAATTTAAAAGCAAAATAAAGCTTGATGTTGAACATTTACAGTCATCCTAGGATCTTTCTTGCTTTTTCAGTGACTTAACTATGACTATTATGACTGATGTGCTCTTTAAGAATAGTTACTGATTCAGTTTCAAGCAGCTACTCTTAAAATCAGCGTAATCCCTTACTGCAAGCCAATACTTCGTGTTCTGTTTCAGCTGGAGAAAGAGCTTGCTTTTGGAAAATTTGTGCATTGCCCTGCTCCTCCCACTCCCCCAGCTGGAAATAGCAGGAAAAAGCATATGAACAAACAACTGTAGTTACCTCTTGTTCCAGCTGAAGCCAAAGCATTTCAGATGCTGTTTTATCTGGTCTTGATGTAATATACATGTACAGTGCAAGAAGAAGGCAGGTGTCTGAAACAGAGATGACTTTGTTCTTTTCCCAACTAGTCAATTGTTTATGACAAAAATTAGTCTTGTCACACAAGAAAGCATTTCAGAAAATACATAGAGAGCTATCCTGGGACACATGATACAGGTTCAACTTCTTGCTTTACTTCAGACATCTTGTGCAGTGCTGAAGAAACTAGCATCCCTAAACTGCATATATGCATTTGTGGTAATACTGTCCTACTTCATTCATAACGAACTGGACAAAGGCTATTTGTCATGCTGAGTACTGGAATCCCTAAACTCAACAGTGTCATGAGCACAGATAAATTAAACTTCAAATCTCTTCAAAAGCCTTTTTTTCCTCATCAGTCTTTAATAAAATAAATATTAATCTGGCAAGTAGTTTTAAAAATTCGCATGGGTAGCAAAAGCACTGTATGTAGACAGATACCACAAGACAAAATACTCCTCAAACAATAACTGAAACACTGCACTAAAAAAAAAGTTTTCAAGTAATAATGTAGGCTTTTTGCCTTTTGGGGTTTTAACACCTTGGAGCAAGGCCTGTTTCCATTACTTCTAGTCATGCCAACATTCAACTGATAACAGTCTCTGTGTTATGCAGTCTTTTACCTGAATGAGAACAAAGTTGAGCAACTAACGTGTGGTGCTGAGCAAGAATACACAACAGTCTCACGGTCAAAAGGACAGCAGGCAAAGGAGTCTCTGGACACAGACAACGGAACAGTATCTGGCTACTCAGTAAGTCCTGAAAACTTCAAAACAAAACTCAGAGTTAGAAATGGGAAATGCACTGACAAGTTGAAAATACACTCTTTCTTGTACACAGCATTGTAATTTGTGCCTTTTTTAGCCATTCAAAACATATCTGATCTCAACTTACATGTCATAAACACAAAGTATACTGAAAAACATATTCAGTTACATTTGGCAGTCAGTCTGCAATTCATACTATGGTTGTGTATATTAGACCATTAGCAGATGAAATGTCTCATTTCTGAGAGTGGCATTTTACCTACCAGAATGAGACCTTGTGCTTTCATTCATTATGCATCTCCCAGCAGTCACAAAAAAACCCAAAATGAATGGTATAGATATTCTCATCAACTGCATATGGCCTTAAGAAGTTTTCTCACTTTCAAGTGACAGCTATGGAATGAGCATCTGCTTCATATAAACATCATAAGCAAATCTTGTTACTGATCGGAGGCGATTATCACATTCATTAGCAGCAGAGGCAGTAGGAAGATCCCTCAACTGCTTCTCAAAGGTGATCTGAGAAATGTGATATTCCCTCATACATGTCAAAACTTCTACTGTCATCTGGACAAATTAGTTTCAATGGAGAATGAAAATTGCTAAACAACAGAGTCTGAAATAATTTTAAAGCTATTACTGACTTACTTTATTAGTAAGTCCATTGTTGAATTTTCAGCTAATTTCACCAAAACTTTTAGGCTTTGGTTCAGTATACTATCAGTTTGGGAGCCTCTTGCAGCAGAAAAACCTAAAACCTGAAGCAGCTTTTTAAACAAAGAATGTTGAGCTCGATCGTTATTGGGAGCATCCTGTGGAGCTACAGGCAGCCCTCCTTGTGTCCTGGTATCTTCTTTATTATCACACTGATTATCACACAGCACATTTTTGTCCATCTTGGAAACCTGTTCATCTCCAGCAGCAGAACTTTTTTCCACTTCAGTAGATAGCAATGTGTGGACAACATCCCAGCTATAAAACGCCAAATAATAAAGAATACCCAGTGATATAACTGTAGTTTCTTCAAGAGACAACCTGAAGTCCTCCTTACTTGACCCCATATTTGTGTTGGTTCTGGAAGAAACAGCTGAATGGTTTCCACAAGAACCATTGACTGACTTGGCCGCCAATTGTACAGCTTGACAGTATGCACCAATATGGTGTTCTACCAAGGGCAAGAGATGCACAGCGCCTCGGATCTTGCAGCGTGTGAGGTGTGAGAACTCTGTCCGGCTTTCTGTTGGGCTTCCTTCAGATAATCCTTCGTCCATAGCAATCAAGTTCAGTCCTGTTATTGCAAGTTCTTGAGCTTCTCGCAGGGATACAAGAGGTGCAGTTTCTTCTTGAGCTGTCCTGCTGCTGGGTAGTTGTGTGGACTTTCTAGCCAAATAAAATTAAAAGAAGGGAAATACTTCAGAAGAAAAGGCAGAGAACATAGTTGAAATTTGAGTTACCCATATTCTGAATCAAATAATAGAAAGGCTAGAGTAATAAGAGATGTCTGTTCCCAAAATAAAACCTAAACTTGGGGGGGGGGGGGGGGGGGGACCCCCCCCCCT